GAGAGCGCATGAGATTGTTCCGTTTCACTCCATGCGCAATTTATCCACTTATAGGAACGGTTTCCCGCGTCATGCCGCGCAGCGCATGAGAGCACATGGACTACCTCAGCTCTCGAGGTGGTGTAGTCCATGCGCGAGGGTTATTTAAACGAGAAAGAGACTGTTCCGTAAAGTTCGCTACAAATTATGAGAATTCGTTATTCTGAAATTTATAACAAATGTTCTTGAAAAAGCTACACGTTTATATTGATGATGAATTATGGGTGTTTAACGTATCTGATAATGAATTTCAAGCGCTTACGAATTGTTTCGTTTTTCTGTGCGCAGTAAGAGTAATGGGAAAAAGAGAACGAGCCAATGACTGCGTTCAGCGGAGAAAACTGATCAGTGAGCGTTCAGTGATTTTTTTTTTTATATGATTGAGTGCATTCAGTACTACAACTGCTCTTAGAACGCTCAGTGAGTTCTCGCATCTGATTGGCATATTCGAAAAGGAATTAAGGAAAGTAATAAAGATAATAAAGTTAATTAAAAGTAATTAAGGAAAGTAAAATAATAAAACGTAAACTGAGAATCAGGAAATCGCTTGACGGGATTTAAAGAATACTTGGAATCTGTAGAATAATGGAAAATAGAATTTTATTCGCCACATGTTTGGCGTTGCAATTGTGCGTTCACCATGCATTAATGATAATAATGTTACACAATGGACAGCCGAATCTAGAGAATGCGACTGAGACTTGAGCCGATTGGAGAGGAGACTCGTGAGGCGTAACGTGTGAAAGTTTTTAGAAGCGCATAGTTCATTGCGTGGGTTCCAAGAGAAGGTGGTACTAGTTGTATCTTTTTAGTTCTAACTAGTATTAGTGGTAGCACATTACGTAGACGATAGAAAGAAGATAAAGGAATAAACCTCGGAGAGAACACGAAGTTAAGGGAGGGTCCCAGAGTTGAACACATCTACTCACATCGGCCAGTGAATAGTAATTTTGCAGTCTACGACCAATGAGAACATATTATCTCGCTTTAATCAATTAGCGATGTGTCCAATTGAGATCCTCCCAAAGTTAACGATTGATTGACACACATACACACAAATTTACACGTACATATATACCTACACAGACATATATACAAAAGGCAAAGCGTCCGATTTTTCAGGCATTCAATAAGAAGGAACATTTACACACGTGTATAAAACGTATAATCCGCAAGAAAGAAGAATCAGTAATCGATAAATCGCTTAATTAAGGATGATTTTTCCAACACGATACACCTACTGACTGCTACCTTCTCCTATTGTTTATTCAGCCAAGTATAAGACAACAAATCCTCCCTCACCCGAGAAGAAACACCCCTCAATTAAATGTGGTACTAAATTATTTTGGTGAATAATAAACAGAGTTGTCACTGAGTCGTGAGATCGTTGTATACTACAAGTCACACCTATGCAATTCGTATTCTTGGAACGGTATAATTCTTTTCATTCTTCAATGACATAATTTCTTTTTTTTTATTATTTGCAGGTCTCATATTAATCTATTGTCCGAGTATGCGTCTAGGAGTACGCAGATGATTCCGTTGTACCTACTAGAATTTTTGTAGTTTCAATCAGAGCAGTATAGGCTTAGGGTCCCTCCCTTCTAACTCTGCAGTACATTAATCGACATGTGCATGACAGTATTTTATATAGTACAATAGGGCAAAGAGAATTAGCAACGTAGCATTGTAAGCGAGACGCATACCAAACACCCAACTGTGCGTGTTTATACGTAGATGTAATAAAAAAAAAAGAGAAAAACAACACGAAAAGTTATATTGTAGCATCGCCTGTCATAAGATTCGTCACGATGGCTTCTGTGACTCGCTTTCTACCTGCTTGGGAAATAATGGTACCAACAAGTAGATTTACAATAAAGTATTCTTCGTCATTTGTGATACACAGGATTGGCGAACGTTTATTGTAATCCTGAAATGTGCTACATGAGCTCCTTGTAGGAAGATACTTTTCACTAGTCTTATAGAGTGAAATTAATAGCGATAGTATTGACTCCTTTATGGCCGTAAAGGCCATCACACGTACAAAAATTTTAGTCGCAATCGTAAGTAAATCGACCAATCACAATCAAAATTAAGATCTCGCGCTTTTAAACGCTCGACTGTGATTGGCCGATTTGCTTACGGCTTTACGATTACGACTAAAATTTTTGTACGTGTGATGGCCTTAATGCGGGGTCTACAATAGAAGTCATAGCGGTCGTAGAGTTTTAAGTCACAGAAAATTGACCAATCATAGTCGATTATTCTTTTCATATTCGACTGTGATTGGTTAATTTTTTACGACTTAAGACTACGACCGCTACGATTTCTATTGTAGATCCCGCATAACACAAACTTTTGCATAATGGTTATTTTCCGATAGCTGTGTCGAAAATTTTCTTTTTAGTTACAAGGTTGGTAGCGCTGTAATTAAAGGCCATCACACGTATAAAAATTTTAGTCGGAATCGTAAGGTCGCAAACAAATCGACCAATCACAATCAAAATTAAGATCTCGCGCTTTTAAACGCTCGACTGTGATTGGCCGATTTGCCTACGGCTTTAAAATTACGACTAAAATTTTTGTACGTGTGATGGCCTTAACATAGCTGTGTTCCGTAACCCCGGATCTACAATAGGTGTCTTAAGTCGTAAGAAATTGACCAATTACAGTCGAATTCGAGGAGAATAATCGACCATGATTCGTTTATTTCTTATGGCTTAATGCGGGGTCTACAATAGAAGCCGTAACGGTCATAGGGTCTTAAATCGTAGAAAATTGACCAATCATAGTCAATTATTCTTCTCATATTCGACTGTGATTGGTTAATTTTCTACGACTTAAGATCCTACGACCGCTACGACTTGTATTGTAGACCCCGTATAAGGCTTAGAACTTTATTGTCGATCCGGGGTAAGAGATCAGCTGACACCGTAGCTTGTATTTGCTTTATCGGCTTGTCCAGGAAAGAGATTAATTTTTACTTTTATAATATATAGTTGATTCTTTATTATTATATATATTTATTGAAATATGATTTAAGTAATATGAAGCGAATATTGGACTGATGAGAATAAATTTAATTAAATAAAGGAATCCTATATTCGGTCATGCAATGTAGAATCAGAATGTTATAAATTCACAAAGAATTATGTATTTAATATTAAGATACGCTTTGATCGAATATAGGATAAAGTAAATGCAAACTACGGTGTCAGCTGATCTCTTACGGAACACAGCTATGTTAGTTACAACGCTACCAACCATGTAATTAAAAAGAAAATTTTCGACACAGCTATCGGAACACAACCAATAGGCTTTTTACAATAAGTTATTACCTAAGCTTAAGTCTTAATCTATAAGAAATTGAATCCTTGTAATCGATTATTCTTCTCACATTCGACTGTGATTGGTTAATGTTATGATAATCTTATGATTTAAGACTTAAAACTTAGATAATAGCTTATTATAAAAAACCTATATCGCATAATGCATAATGCATACGAGAACCAATCAATCAAAATTCTTTTCTTCTTTGATAATAGGAGGAAAGGAAGGATTCTGGTTGGTTGATTCGCGTATGCACTGTGCATTTTATATTATACAAAAGTCTGTGTTGTGGTCTTTAAACAATTTTTACGCAGTCTTATTTTTATCAAAAATATAATTCTAAGTTTATATGGTGATAAAAGAGATCATTTTTTTTCATTCAAGAGATTATCTACATATTATAAAAAGCTATATTAAAGAAAGAATTAATACGAATTCAAATAGTCGAACATAGGAATTTTTTTACGCAACAAGATATATTATATAAATATATATAATAGAAATATATTTTTTAAATTTCATAACTATCGGTAATGTAGGTCGCGCGATTTATCACGGTCGATAAGACCGATTACTTGCTTGTCGATGTGGATCTATAAAACGTGCGAAACCCGCATTCTTTAAAACGTTTTATGTCTCGTTTTCGAACATGCGTGTTGTCTGAATTGTGAAATCGAATACAATACAGAAATAATTAAATTTTATTATTGTTGATATATCTGACTTTAATGTTGATAAATAAAAACATATAAGCGAAATAGAATTTATATGTAGTCCATTGCAACGACAAATAATAAGCTTCGATAGTTTACAGATTGATGTTAACACAGATAATGACACTTGCAACATATAATTTACATATACTCGTAAATGTAGATTATTACATTTTACGCGTAAACACCAGGGTTGGGTAAGTTAACTTTTTTTTTAACTAAGTTAAGTTAAAGTTAACAGCCTTGAAAATTTAACTCAATTAAAATACAAGTCCATAATGAAATTAATTGAATTAAAAGTTAAGTTAATAAAAAAAGTAATTGAAAAATTAAAAGTTAAATTTGGTCCGAACGAACAACCAATAAAAAAAGAAAAAATTTGACCATTTTACATAATTTTTTGTATTTTTCTTTTCTCACAGCATATTAAAGAATCTGGTTATTTTTGTTCACAAGTAACGATTATACAATATAAAATTATTAAATTATATATTCGTTATCCTCTCGCATTGTGTCTGAGAATTAATTTAAAAGAAATCAAATTAAAAGTTAATAGTTACTGATAAAATGTAACTAAATTAAGTTAAAAAGAGTCTAAAATATATAATAACCAAGTTAAATAAAAACCAAGTTAAATTAAAATTAATTAACTTTTTTACTTAACTCTTTTATCTTTTTAATTTAGCACTACCCAACCCTGGTAAACACACAAGAATTATGAACGCGATATCGACCAGCTTGACTTTGCCAGTATCGATACAGAAATCTTCTCGGAAATAGTCGGAAATCAGGCTTGCTTCGAAACGGATAATTTGAGACATTCGAGGAGCGCGCTATCAGCACTATTTATGTCATCTATCTTTTTCTTACGTTCAATGGACAATGAAGATAGAATGATACAATAGCGCTAATAGCGTCTCCCGGAATACAGCCTTAGAAATAACGGCGCTGTTAAAAGTGATCGATGCGCACGCATGATCGATAATTCTCATAACCATAATCTAGGGCAATAATTTAGATCTAGAGGATCCTACTGATGATCACGTGTGATCGTACATTTATTTCTTACAACCCATTGTTTACACGAGGATTGCATCAGATTCTATGGTATTGTTGATCAATTGTTAATTCGTTGAAAGTTAAGGATACGCAGTGCGTTTCATCTTTCATTCGATATAAAGTTGCTCGCGATTAAGTTTCGTTCGAAGAACGATCATTGTCGCGATCTCAGACGATCGACCTTGCACAGATTGGCAAGTTTACAGCGATGGGTTAGCAGTCTTGCGTCCTCGTTGTTTGAAAGGCTCTTGATTAATTCTTTGGATAGCTCACGACGAAGTGAAAATGACGTCACAAGAACAAATTCCCTGTAGTCTGCCCGATACACAGAACGCGGATGCTGTATTGACACAATCGCAGGAGGTATCAAGCCAGCAGCAAACGATGGCTGTTTGGGGAAGACTGTGTCCTAGGAGACCATACCTGCGAAGTCTGGGTAAGAGCTTCTTAGATCGCCTCTTGCATTGGTAGAAACTCTGCTTGTAGTGTAGTTTTTCAAAATTAATTCAAATCAGGGCTCTAAAATTTAAAAATTAGGCAAATAATTATAATAAAATTTTCTTATTTTATTTCAGAAATGAAGGATACCTCTTATACCTTAGGACGCGCCCCGAGCTGCGACATTTATTTAACTACAAATGAGTTTAAACACCTGTCTGTGATTAGTAAGATACACTTTCGCATATACAGGGAGCGCGTTGGTAACACGAACGAGATCGTAGTATACTTGGAAGATTTAAGCCACAATGGAACTTATGTTAACCAAGAATTGGTTGGTCATGGAAGACGTGTCATTATCGGAAATAATTCCGAGATAGCTTTAGCCAAGAGTTCCTTCTCATGTACTTATTTTAAATCAAAACTCAACATATAAATTATTGCTTGATGATAAAAAAAATTAATCTAAATTGCAGTTTATATATTCGTGAGTGCAAATGCACACGAGACTGCTTGTGAGTTGCCACTGCAGCTGAAGCAGAGGTATGTAATCGGCCGTAGACTAGGAACTGGTGCTTGTGGTGAAGTGAGGCTGTTATTCAAGAAGGATGGTTCCGAAACATTTGCTATAAAAGTTATACAAAAAAATTATTTTAGCACCGGAACTGGCAACATACTCAATAATCCAGCAAATGTTCGAAACGAAGTTGAAATATTAAGAAAGCTGAAGCATGTAAGTTTAGATAAGATTTGCGGCATCTTCCTTGTATCATTGTGGTTGCCTATGGAGTTTTGAATTTTTGTTTCAGCCTTGTATAATTCCTTTGAAGGATATTTTTGACACGCCCGAAGTTATGTACATTATTCTTGAATTAATGGAGGGTGGTGAGCTTTTTGATCGAATAAGAAGCAGAAAAAAACTGTCCGAATCATGTGCAAAACTGATATTCTATCAAGTTGTACATGCTGTTAATTATCTTCACAGACAGGGAATCACACACAGAGATCTGAAGGTAATTTTCATTGAAAAATTTAGAACATTAGCTGTATGTTTTACATAGTCATGTCAATGTTATATTATTAGATAAAAAAAATTTACAGCCAGAGAATATACTGCTGAAGGACAATTCGGAAAATCCTTTGGTCAAAGTATCAGATTTTGGCATGTCAAAATTCGTAGATGCCCAAACAATGATGAGGACATTCTGTGGGACTCCTATGTATGTTGCTCCAGAGATTTTAGCAACCAATGGACGCAGCTCTTATACAAATCAAGTAAGTATTTAAATTATACAGGGTAAGCCCAAAATTTCGGCGAAATTTTAAGATTTTACAGGAAATTTAATTCTCTAAACAAAATTCTTATAAACATGGACAAAAAACGCTTCCTTAAACAATTGAATCCTAAAAAACTTTAAAATCATTATTTTATACATTTACAAAATCAGGAGAAATAATTCTTTTTAACAAAAAGTACTAAAACAAAAGTTTTAGAAAATTAATTTATCTTTTAAATGAGATCAAAATGATTGTAGTATGTTCTATTTCTATTCATTTCTCAATGAATTGTCTCCAATCGGTTTCAAATATATAAATTAGTGTTTAATGTATAAAAGAAATTACTTACACTTTTATTATTTAATTTTTCACGAAGTTTTACGCTATAATAATATTATCCTTGAATTTCGAGACATCCTATATAATACCATATGTGTGTGTGTATATTGTAACAAGAAATAATCGTGAATATAGATTTTTAATTCTCAGAATCACAGCTTTATCGGAGACTTGATAGAAGGATCGATTGCAGAATGTTTGCACAATGTTTTAAATTTAAATTCTAAAATAAAGAAAAAAATCGGCAAATGATCTTCGATCTTTGTCATAAACAATCTTGGATTTGTTTATTTTTAAAATTTATTCCTGATAAGAGATTTGAATAACTATTAATAATAAATATTTATAATTCTATATAACGAATAAATATTTTTCCTCTTAAATATGCGAAGTTACAGGACCAGGAATCAAACCTGGGTCTTTTTCTTTATAAATAACTGCTCTATCACTGAGTTATCCTATACCTCAAAAGATAATTATGACCGTTTGGATGTACACTGTTAGTACTGAAAATTTATAGTATATGTAACGTGAACTGTAGATTTTCTGTAGAATCAGTGTATATCTGAACACGGCTTATGCATGTGAATCGTTTCTATTTTATTGGAATTCTTTCAGGTCGATGTATGGAGTTTAGGAGTGATATTGTATGTCAGTTTAAGTGGCAGGGTTCCTTTTTCAAATAATAATGTTACTTTAGCGGATCAAATTAAAGGTGGAATGTATGAATTTCGATCGCAATTTGAACTAGTATCACAGGATGCTACAAATCTGGTACGTAATAATGTCTGTATTTATTAACTGTGATTGACATTTAATGGAATATCGTATTGTTCTAGATTAAACGTATGATGACGGTGGATCCGAAGACACGTATAACAGTGCCACGCATCTTATTACATCCGTGGTTACGTGACACAAATATGCGAAGAGAAGTCAACAGACTGATGTCCGGCATTATCTACAATGAAGATAATGACGAGAATTTACCACCTCCGTATATCCATCCGAATAAACGTCCTCGACTTATTTAAAAAAAAAAAAACAGGATATAAAAAATATCTCATTTCGCGAGCAAGAGGTGGAGTGTTTTCTAGTGTTTTCTTGATAGATCTGGCTTTTCGTTAACGTTGTGATACATGTATACGTTACCCACTTAGAATAATTTTTATTTAAAAAGCGGGCATTCAATAGATTTTGATAAATTCGATACATCGAAAAATTATTAAGTTCATAAAGTCAATCTTTTAAATCTATAAGTTTAATAGTACAAACATGGTACAACAAGTAGAAATAATATTCTTTTACTTGATATACTTGATGATTAACTCAGTATTAAAAAATTAAGAAATAGATAATAAGATTTATATATTCTGATAAGATACATATAGAATTCTCTGTACAATATACTCTTATTTTTTGACGTATCTCAATTTGACGAGTACAAGAATTTGTGATATATGACATAAGTAAAACGCACTATAAAGGTTATTGATTAATATTAAGTGCCAATTTATAACTTTATAAACTTTGATTAAAAAATTTAGAATATTTCAAGGATATAGCAATGCTAATAAAAAGAGATCAAGACTGTCGTATGTTTAATGCCAAATGTGCGAAGAAAATGTAGGTTCAATTTATCTTTTACATTTAATTATCGTTACGAGTTTATCATCTCTTGTACAAAATCAACCTTAGTGTTCAATTATACTAAGTTCTTTATTCAAAGTGATGGACCTTATACAATAAAGATGAACCTCTCGCGAACTATATTCTATTTGTTTTATTCCTTTCTGCTTAAATATTGCTGCTCACTTTGGCAGGGATTCGGAAGCGCTGTCTCAATGTCTGGTTTCTCTTTCTTCGTAAGTCCGGCCAGCAAACGTTTTAATTGCGCTATTGCTTTTCCTGGATTCAGACCCTATTGGATACGTAGCAATACCATGTGACGATTAAAATTAAAATCTAGATATATTATCTCTTTTGAGAGAAATAAACTCTTTTTGTATCTCGCCGAAGAGAAAATAGCGGTGAATAATGTCGTTTAAGATTCACCTTTGGACACGTCTTTGTGCAATTGAAGATCGTGTGGCATCGATAAACCGAATAGAAGTCTCGTAATTTTGCCAGTCTTTCTTCGTGTGCCATGTCCCGCGAGTCTATCACCCACCTGTATGCCTAGCGATGTAAGCGAATGGATGTACATGTAAATAATGATGCATCTTCATTTTGTTTGCCGTAGAAAAATGTCAACCTGTTACCTGCAGTAGCACCGCAGGTCCCAGGTACTTATCGCCGAGCCACCAGTAAGGAGGACACGAGAACGTGCAACACGCGCACATTATGCATTCGTACAAGCCATCGAGCTTGCTCCTGTCTCTTGGACTTTGTAAAATTTGCCGCATACCGAGGAAGTCGTCCTCACCCGGTCGTTTTAGATACGGATCGATTTTGTGAAATTGTCCCAGGAACTGTTCCATATCCGGTATTAAATCTCGAATCACATATGCATGCGGTAGAGGATAGATCACCAGTGGCTGAAGAGATTCTTTTACTTTCCTGAAAATTTTAAGCAGTTTCAGTAGCGACGTTAACGTGATTTAAGGGGAGATTTCTTTTGGAAGTAAGTTTTATCGCGATGAGAAGGCTAGAAAAGTAACTATGTAAACGGAAATATACGGCATGTAAAATTAACACCATTTCAAATTCCAGACATTCAGATCTCCAAGTATCCAAAGTGTTCCAAGCATCTAAAACACTAAAATTATCCACATTCCGAAATCCTAAATATCCGGATTAAGCTACCAAAGATACATCAAGTTTTTCAAGGATCAAATTCAAAGAATTCAATATTCCTATCGCCTGATTTACCGACGTTAAAAATTTTATGATTGAACGACGAGTTACGTTATGCAAGCCAAGGTATTCACGCCGTTTATATTCATCCCGCAACATCCACAGATGCCCTCGCGACAGGATTTCCGGAAGGATAATGTCGGATCGTGCTGCGCCTTGATAAACGTCAATACGTCCAGCACCATCGTGCCGCATTTGTTCAGATCCACGCTGAACTGTTGCATGTATGGCTTCACTTTCGGCGTTTCTGGATTCCATCGATACACACGTACAATTTGTAGCCTCGGTCCAACTTCTGCCTCCTACGAGATCAGTTATAAATAATAATTTCGTCTGAAGATAGTGTATATACGTTTGCATAATCTAAGGCTGGTATTCATAGTCAGATCTTATATTCAAGATCGTCTTAAGTACAGTCTTAAGAAGAACTAAGAAAGAACATAGGAATCAAGCGCGGAAGACGTTGCGCAAATAATACGACTATAAAGCGTAAAACTTCTTTATTTTACTAAACGCGCTATTGCCCATGTTCCTTCTTAGTTCTTTTGATTTATGAGGAGTCTTGATTAGTTTGATTTGTTATACGAAACAGTCTTAAGAAATCAAAAACCAATCAGAGAGCCGTATTAACGTCTTAAAACATTACTTAAGACAATCTTGAAATAAGAACAGACTATGAATATCGTCCTTAAGTCCTTCAATTCTTTCAAAAACTTCACGATTGAAGACATTCTTTTCTCATATTGCGATATATTATGCGCGAAAAGAAAACTTGTTCAATATCATAATAATCAAATGTCTCAAGGTTTGTTCTTTACAGAAAAAATTTTATACTTCTCATCTTTTCGTTTTTCTTTCTTTCTAACGTTTGATTGTACATTAATATCAGTTTAAATGTAGAAAGTATAACTACAAAGAACAGATCTTTAGATAATACAAAATAAGGCCGCGACTCTCTAACGATAGCAAAAAGATGCATAGCACATTGCAAGGACTCGTTGCATGTTGGAGACAGGAAGATCCTTGCGTTTTTTCTCAAGTGCGAGATGACTAACTTTCGAAGGCGTTTTACACGCAGCAATGCCCGCGATTTCTGCTGCCACCGCTGTGTCCACCTCGGTTGGAGTTTTCTTGGCCAATGTTGACAATTTCGATTCGCGAATGCGCGCGAGTCCCCGCGACCAGAAGCGGCTCGTGAATACGCTTCTGCTCACGGTAGCATACATGACCCACCCCCTGTCGAATGACCTGCCGTCGCCTCCACGCCCGTACACTATTATCTCGAGGACAATGTCTTCGTGATGTCACGTCGCACTATTTCAATCATTACGTCTCGTCGCGGTCGCATTTATCTCGGACTCGTCAAACGAACAAAATATCATCGAGGACGAACTTCACGAACAGTCTGCGGCGAATTTATGTCAATTTATGTTATCGATATTCACATATAAGACATCTTCGATAGTTCGCTTTAGACGATAGAAGTTGGGCCGAATTTCAGCCTAGAGTTCTGTTTATAATTTTATGTGCCATGTGCTTTACTATTTGTGGTTGTCTTCACAGATTTTTGTACAAGAAATATACATCCATAGACCTCTATACGAAGTCTGTGTTTTTTAATATCTATATTTGTATATTCCAATACTTCAAGTGTTTTTGTGTTACACACGGCACATGAAATAATAAATACTAAAATTATTTTGCTTGTATCAATTTTATTTATCGATTTTATTTATTTATTGATATATTTTTTACAAAACGCAAAGAACGCATTCTTATCATTTGTTTGCAAAATGATGTTTTTAATTCAATTGTTCATTGCACTTTCAAATCCTTGTTAGGAATCGATTTTTGATTTAACAGAATTTAGATTGCATTACGTTGTTTGTCATAATGCAAACAAGTTACAACCATCGCGATAAGAGTGACGCGCTTGACCTTATGGTCATCAAATAATTTCGAAATTATTTCGTTGAGGAATGTTGAAAGGAGTTTCCGTATCGCAATATGACATATGTCCGTTTAGTACAAATTTATAGAATAACGTATCGAAGCTATTGTTTACGCAATTATTTCGAATAATTTCGGAGCGCTGAAAATTATCATATATCTGTCAAACTGTTTAAAATTTAAAAATGACAACAGCATAAAGAAACGAAAATTGTACAAGTATTAGAATTGCAAAACATCTATTTTATCTCTATCGCTAGCGTTTATTTGTATATTACAATATAATAGTGATGTAAACGTCCTCATCGAGACGTGCACGAGATTATTTAAATCGCCTGCTGAAAGGCCATTGGGTCATCGCGCGAGCGATGTTATTATAGATTAACTCCCACAAAGAACGAGAGATAAAGCCGGTCTTTCGTTGCGTAAAACGCGATTGGTGGGTAAGCACACATCGTTAGTCATCGTTGTGTTGCCGTTGCGCCGAGAACGAATCACGTCGACCACCTGTGGCATCCCACATTTCATTCTTAAGCACAATCAACACGTTATTATCTGACGCCTGTAAACAACGAATAATTAACAGCTAATTAACAGTGTTTACGGAGATTACAAATTGGAGCAAGGTGAGCGATGAGGAAGGTTTTATCCTGAAATTATTAAATTTGAAAATTACGAATGTCGTCGATATTTTAATAATTCTGAATAAACCATGCCACTCTCGTGATCATCGTTTTGAAAAAGCACGTTGAAAATTTACAGATGACACAGTGCACGGTCCTTGTAATCGGCAGTGGTGGTAGAGAACATGCCATTTGTTGGAAATTGTCTCAGTCGCCGTGTGTAAGTTAAGAATTAATAATACATAGTAATATAACAATACATAGTAATGGACAGAGATTAATACAGTGTAACACATTCTGTTTGGTGTAGGTAAAAGAGATCTTGGTCGCTCCTGGAAATACCGGCATCAAAGAAGTGGATAAAGTGCAATTAGTTGATTTGAACGTCAAGAATACTAAGGTATACATAATGTCATTCTATAATTTTTTCTTGTATCAGTCATGTGATATTAATTACATCATTTTTTCTGTAGGAAGTTGCCAAATGGAGCAAGAACAATAATGTTGATTTAGTAATAGTAGGACCAGAAGATCCTTTGGCTCAGGGATTAGCAGACGATCTGAAAGACGTGGGAGTGAAATGTTTTGGACCCCAGAAGAAAGCAGCCCAGATTGAAGCCAATAAAGATTGGGCAAAACAATTTATGGACAGAAATCATATTCCTACTGCTAGGTGGCAAGGTTTTACCTCCGCTATGGATGCAAAGAACTTTATCAAAAGGTAAGTATAAGGAGTTTTTTTGTTGAGGA